ACAGGCTTGGAAAGCAAGCACAGTGCAGATGTCTTATTCAATCAGGAGAACCACAGAACCCCAAACTCTCAGAGGGGGAAGAACTTACAAAGAATGTCTTTGCTCCTAAGTACTTGTGGGAAGAATAAGCTACTTCATAAAGCACATGGGTGTTGTGAGTATATGTAAGTAAGGGTAAATGAAGGTATCTGTTTTTCAGAGCAGACAATATGAGATATAGTTTTTAATTAAAAAGAAAAGATAAAGATGGACATGTTTTAAGCTGAGAACTGTGGATTCAACCAATTTGAACATATTAAAAACATTTGATTTTCATTCTCAACAATTCTGGATTCAAGCTATTGATGGGGAGGAGCTGGGGAAAGAATCAAAGACATGACCGGGAGATGTCCTTCCTTGGAGCTTGCTGACTTAAAACCACACAGCTTCTTCACTTTGCAGCCATCCATTGGAAAGGCCAATGAATAGGCAGGTTTTCTGACACTGTCTTCCTAAAGAGCTAAATACCTACAGTTGTATCCCTTTCTTTCTCTCATACTTTCTTCAATGGCATAATCTATTATTATTATTATTATTATTATTATTATTATCATCATTATTATTATTATTTTTAAATTTGCTGTCAGGCACGTACACTCACCAGAGACAGAGAGAAAAGGAAACTGAGAAAGCAAGCTGCCAGGTCTGGGACTCGAACTGTACTTAGCCATGTGGGAATCCAGGTCCTAACCACCATGCCACCTGTTGGCTCCAAGAAAATGTTTCTTATGAATAAATGTGCAAACATTCCTGCAAAGGAGCTGTTTTTGCCATCATATTTATATCCAACATTAAAATTTTACAACTGGGTAAGAAAAGAATAGTGTACTTTTAGCAATAGTTTCTGAAATTATTGATATGCTTCCTTTGGCAATGAAATACAAAAATCCATCATTGGGGTTAACATTGAAATCTTTCAAGAAAATGCAGGTAGAGTGCTGGAGTGTCGCTCACATAAAGACCAGACTCTTTGCTGTTGTTATTGCTGTTGTTTTAAAAAGAAGCTCAAGAGCAATTTCTTCCATACCAAATCCACTTGAATTCTGGGAAATTCAAAAACATAGAGGAATTCATTTCTGTTTTTCATTTCCATGGCTAATAAGAGATTCCTGACATTCTTTAATTGACCTAGAAACCTTAAACTGCCTTAAATATTAGTTAAATATAGTTTGGAGCTTAGTGCCTGCTGAGAGAATCGTGTTCCCACTTGCCCTTATGGATTTCGTAGCACTTACCATAAGTTGTAATTACACATTTATTTGTGTAGTTGGTTATTTCTTTCAGATCTCTCACTAACCACAGGTTGTTGTTTGTCCTGCTCCAAATATAAACCAAACTCTTCTGGTTTGATTTAAAAGGCCATGTTTTTCTGACATTTTAAATCTGGGATGGTTGTAGAATGAGAAAAAAACAATAGTGTTATTTGGGAGATGTAACTGGGGATTGGACTGCACAGAGCGGAAATCAAAATAGTGCCTTATTGATAAAAGGTGTTTTCTCTCAAGTAAAGGAAACACAGATTCAGGCTGCCCAGGCTGGACATTGGTCACTGGGAACCCGGGACTCTTCTCTCTGTGTGTGCTGTCATGGAGCATCCCACCCTGGAGAGCATCTCGTGGTCCAGCATAGCTTCCGCAGTTCCCACCATGAGGTGTATGACCATGGGCCCCCTGCACGCTGTCATGGAACCTTTCCAGGAGTTCCACGCAGCCTGTTCATGACATTTCACTGGAAAGAAGTCAGTCAGGTGGCCACATAGCTACCTGGGAAACTGAGAAATGTCCTCTGAAACTGGGCACTGCAATAAAACAGGAGCCTTGCTATAAATGGAGAACAGAATGAATGAAGAGATAGGCAGTTAGTGTATAGTTTAGGATATTTACACCAGTCACAAATGAAAATCTAGAGGCCTGCAGGTGACATAGTGGTTACATTGCTGGACTCCCAAAAGGCCAACCTCAGTTCGAACCCTGGACCCCGTGACTTAAAAACCACACTGTGTGTGTGTGTGTGTGTGTGTGTGTGTGTGTGTTCCCAAAATACCAAGAGAAGAATGGAAGAAAAGGGACTGCAGTGTGGCCATCCCACCGGGACTTCTTCTTCTTAGTTTCTCTCTGTCTCACCAGCGAGCACACACAAACAAAAATCTCTCTATAGAAAAGGTATTTTTCTTTCTATGAATGCTATCAGAAATGAAAGGAGCTCAGAATTTGGAGAAAAATAGGTGTCCCCATCAGACAAAAGAAGAAACAAGTTATGCCTTCTCAGACATAAACTTTTTTTAAAAAGTTTTGGGACCAGCAGATGGCATAATGGCTATGTCGCTGGACTCCCATGTAGTCGAACGCAGTTCGAGTCCCAGACTTGGTAGCTTAAACTCACGCTGGGCACATGTGCGTGTGTGCTCAGGATCCAGAGAGGAGAAAGGAGGAGGAGGGATTGCGATGTGACCATCCCCCTGGGGGATGATTTCTTGCTTTCTGTCTCACTGCCTCTCTCTGTCTTTCTGGTGAGCACACTCACTCTATAGGAAAAAGCTCTCAAAAAAAAAAAAAAATCCAGAATAAAAAAGAATATATGCTTATGGACAAGAGAGACAGAGAGAAAAGAGAGGACCTTCTTCAGTAGGGTCTTATCATGGAACCAGCAGATGGTGTAATGGTTACGTCACTGGACTCTCTTGTAGTTGACCGTGGTTTGAGTCCTGGACCTGGCAGCTTGAAAATTCTTGCCAGACGCATGTGAGTATGAGAAGAGAATGAAGGAGAAGGGACTGCAGCATGATCATCCCTGGGGGTGACTTCTCACTTTCTGTCCCCCTTGTTTCTCTCTGTCTCTCCAGAGCACACATGCCCCATAGCAAAAGTCTCTTTTAAAAACTATGGTCTTATCATACTGACCTTCCTTTCACCCAGCCTTCCAATGCCTCAGGATCTTGGGCGTGTGTGTGTGTGTGTGTGTGTGTGTGTGTGTGCACACCTGGCATGTTTCTGGTCAACCAGGCCAGAGACTCGAACCCAAACCCATAGTCAAACATGTGACTTCCAGCACTGCAGTTTAAAACACAACCAACTATTCCACCCAGGCTGTTTCACATAATTTTCTTAACATAAATATGCTCTGATCAACACAATAGTGTGAAAATTACTAGGAAGCAGTATTTTGGGGTTTTTTTTTTTTTTTTGGAGAGGTTTTTGCTATAGGGCACATGCGTTCGCCAGAAAGAGAGAGACAGAGAGACAGAAAGCGAGAAATCAACCCCCAGGGTGGATGGCCACGCTGCAATCCCTTCTCCTCCATTATCCTCTCGGGATCTTGGGCACGCACGCACACGCTCCCGGAGTTTAAGCCACCGGGTCTGGGACTCGAACTGCAGTCGACTACATAGGAGTTCAGCAACATAGCCATTACGCTAACTGTTGTTAGGAAGCAGTATTAACACTGCAACTCACTATATTTCCATCACAAGGGGAATTATGACCTATTTTATTCTTACCAGTAATGGGTTTGTGTAGAAAGATTAAGTAAATCTAAAGCCAATGTTCTGATTGCCTGAGTTGTAGTGAAAAGCAGAAGTGAGAAGGTTTGAAATTAGTGCAAATACATTTTTTTCTTTGCTCATCTATGCGTTAAATTAGTGTATGTTTTTAACGTCATGTCCATAGATGAGATGATCAAGTTGGTGATTCTTTATAAAACAACAAGGTAACATGGAAAACTATGGATTTATTAGGGCAGATCATCACCAGCCTCAGCATCAGAAGACCTGAGTATAAGTTTCAGTTTAAGCTTTCTCAGCTTCCGAAGTCGGGGGTGATGGGGTGGGAGGAAAAGAAAAATAATGCCTGCTCTATCTTCTTACATAAGTTACCAAGAAGAGCAAATTTGATCATTTATGCAGAAGTCTTTCCCGAAGGCCTTTGAACAGAGAGTCACAAAAGAACAAACGTATCTCCTAATGAGATTCGAGGTGTAAGAAACCACCAGGGCATTTGAAGAGGCAGATTCACCCATTAGTTATTGCCAGTGTACGGCCAGGCTTTCAGATGACTCGCCAAGAAATAGTTGTCCACCAACCAAGTTGGAAACAGTTGACTTCTACCTTGACAGGCCAATATGACTCTTTGGGGTTTGTGTTCATTTAAAAAAGATGACCTTTGGATTACACAGTGATGTTTAGGGAATTATCAACCCAAAATGAACTGTCATAAGGACTGTTATAACCCCATGGGGCACCCACATCCAAACATGTGTCACAATGTCTATGCATGAAGCCCATCATTTGAGAGAGACTCTCATGTCTTCACTTTTTGTTTTTCAAGGCAGGTTACTTGTCCTTTGTTTACTTAGTTGTGATCACGGAGACTATTCTAATTTCCTGCTAAAGCCTCTCTCCGTACTGTTGCAACACCATGGTATGAACCAATCGAAGTGCCACTGGATAAGCACCAGGATTTTTTCATTGTAAACCACAATTCTGGGTAACGTTTGAATGAGGACATTTGATATGGATGGTCAGATGAAAGATACCAAAATGTCGTCTTCACTCTTATTTTAGAGCTCTACCAAGGTCTAACAAGCCATCCCTCTGTTACCTCTCTAGTATATTATAAGAGAGAAGGTGGAGTGACAAGAGATAAATACATTGATAATAACACAGTAATAATTGATAGTAAAAGAGGTCAAAAACAATAACTGTGTAAAATACCCAAGATCGTATCAGCCTGGTGTCATTTCTGTATGGGCCGAACGACTTTGCACATCCCAGTATTCCTTAGGAAAAGTCTGAATTACAGCCGCGGGGAATATTGATGGTAACAAGGACGACCTGTAGTCACAGAACAAAACAAAACAGTGACTTCATTTGCACTGTAATTCGAAGAGCAGGAAATACGTGATTAATTTTTGAAAGCTTGGATGCTAGATCATAATTCCCAACTCTCTCCATTCCTCCCCAACAGAGAAGTGACTGGAAATCCACACACAGGGCAGCAGAACCTACCCTCCCCGCTCTGGGCTCAACCACGTGGCTTGCTTTGGCCAATAGCAGGTAAGAAGATGTGCCAACACCATATCCAAGCAAATGCTTTGAGCAATAGTCAAGTGGCTCCTGTCCTGACAACGTCATGAGGATGGCTCTTCTCACACAGGGGCTGTTATCTGAGCCTGAGTCATGGAGTGAGAAGACATGGGAGGGGAGCCTTGGCCTAAAGCAGGGCAAAGCCACCACCTCCCACAGCTCCATGGAACCAGGGAGACATAACCCTTTTCTATAAACCACTGAGCTTTCGGGGTCCTTGTTTAACTTCAACGAGCTTTAAGACAGCTCCTTTTTTGTTTTGCTTCTTGTAAGTTTGAGCCTTTCGATGGTTAAATCAAGGTATCATGGAAATTCTCCTATTCGAGACCTTCATTCCCCCTGCTGTGAAGGATAATTGAAGTATTACTGCAAGTAGCCTCAGTGAAAATTGCCCTTGAGATGGTGAAAAAATTGCCCCAAGCAGCCAAGTGCAATATATTAACCAGACTGTGCCTTGTCCACCCGGCAGCCAGGAAGCAGGCCTGTAGGAGGACTCGCAGGGTGTGTCTCCTTGGAGCTGGGGGAGCAAGCTTGCTTGGGGGGTGTGGTCTCAGTGGATGGAATTCCATGGACTGGTGATATTGAGGATGATGTCATTAGGGCGTGGGTTAAGGACAGCTGGCAGCCACCTGCCCTGTTTTTCGAAAACTTCAGAGATGGAGGGGTTGGATTTCTGGGATCACAGGCAAAAAAAGAGAAAGTCAAGTTCAGCCTTCTTTCTGTCCCTGGAAAACGAAGCACCCCAGTACTAAGTCGGAGCCTGAGAATGACCGGCTGCGTGACTATGCACAAATTATTTCACCTTCTGCCTGGCCACCAAGGATTAATTAGTCATCACTGCTTGTCTCGCTAAATACACAATGCTAAATACAAATAGAGGAGACCCTCGAATCCAGGGAGCTGTGACTCGTGGTCCTGAATATTCATGTTGAACCACGCCGTCCACTCTCACCCAGCAACGACTCTTTGTTTTATGGAGCTCAGAGGGGTCCCCTTCTGTCTGTAAGGTGAAAGGGGGGCTGTATGTGGTGTGTGGCTGCAATACTGATGCTCTGTTTTGTCGCCCTGGGGAGATCCTGGGAGACGCAGTGGCAGATGCCTGGAAACACCGGCAACACCTGAAGCCCGTTTTTGCCCACACACACAAAAAAATCTCTCCCCATTCATCTTGCCAGTTTGAAATTCTTTTGGCATACAAGATCTTTTAAAGTGAAAATGCATTCAAGGGAAAATACAAAGAGCAATTATGAACAAAGACGCTGGTGTGGAGTCGTCCTAGTTCTGCCCCTTGCTGTGCGATCTTGGACAGATCCCTGAACTTGGACAGATTCTGAATTTCAGTTTCCTCATTTAAAAAAAGAAAATGAGTAATAGGAGTTCCTCCTTTGTAGATGTGTAGCTGGGGTAAAGTGAGTTAGTGAGTAAGAAGGGTTTCACACACAGTACGCACAATGATGTTGGAGAAATTGTGATTTCCTGATACTGGGTAGAGTCTTGTCCACCTCTTGGAAACAGGAAATTTGGAGACCCGAGAGAGCAAAATTAAAAAACAGCGGTGACGAAGTTGGGGAAGTGAAGGGGGAAGTGGGGCAGTAATGTCTGAGGAATGGAGGTAGGTGATAAGATGGGCTGAGGGGGCAGGGGACCAGAAGCAGAGCGGTCAGAGAGGACAAAGACACACCCTCCTCAGTCGTGCTTGGTGGTGACAGCGGAGTTCACGTGGTGCTGAAAGTTACTCAGCAGGCTCCAACATTCTTTCTCCCCCTCACCCGGAAAAACTCCACACATCACTCTCTGCAGCTGTGGGAAGTTACAGCTGCAAGAATCGAGCTAGAGTAGTTTGGAAGAGTGCAAACTTGACCTTGGCGGTTTCCTCCCGCTGTGCCTTGTCCTGTTAGTTCCGTCCAGCCATTCCAGCTCACTTTGTGTGACTCCATCTCCCACTCTACGCCTTCCCAGCGTGGGATGGCATCGTGCACATTTTGGATCATACTGTTTAATTAATCAACGTTTGTTTTCTACTGCAACTGTTTTTGTCTGCCAGTGTCTCAAAGGGGAGGTGATAGATGGAGGTGATGAGTCCAGAGGCGGTGATGGGCAGACAAAGATATACAGAATTGAAAAACCGAGGAGGGGCTTCATTAAAGCGAAAACCAAGTAATGCTCTGCCTCCTTAATCTCTGGTAATAATTTACCTTAGGACGGGTAAACCTGTCTGTGCACAGCAATCGTACATTAAACACAGAGAGCTTCAGCGTTGCTCGGGGCCACTGTCAGATTCCAGTAATTCACGTGCATCCAAGATTGGAGACACCTTACTCCTCCGGACATTGAAGGAGAATATGTAGAAAGGAACCCTCAACGGTCATTTGAAAGCAACCCTAAAGCATATTTCTGCGCATTTGCTGAAGGCACTTTAATGCTCTCCAGTGGAAAACCCCTTCAGTTACTGATGCCAGTTAAGACGGAGTGTGTTGGAATGTTTGCCTTCTCAGCAGTTCTGCAAAAGATGGTCTTCCGAAATAGCCAGTCAGCTTTGAAATAATTGGCTGTGTCAATAGCCCCATCTTGTAAATGCTTAGCTGCCTCAGTCAATGCAAAAGTCTGAGAAATCACCTTTCATGGGGACCAGCAGTTAGCGTAATGGCTATGTCGCTGGACTCCCATGTAGTCGACCGCGGTTCACATCCCGAACCAGTGGCTTAAAACTCATGCCAGGCGCGTGTGCGTGCGTGCCCAAGATCCTGAGAGGAGAATGGAGGAGAAGAGATTGTGGCGTGGCCATGCCCCCTGGGGGGTGGTTTCTCACTTTCTGTCTCTCTGTCTCTCTCTCTCTGTCTGGTGAGCACGCGCCCTATAGCAAAAACCTCTCCAAAAAAATTTTTAAAAAAAGAAATCACCTTTCATGAAAGAGCTGAAGCCTGTGCTTGGCCTGTCCTTTCTTTCCTGCAGTAGTGTTTGTTGATTGATTACTGTGCTCTGGATGAGAGCCATCAGCATCACCTGGGAACTTGGTGGAAATGGAAATGTGGTTCCTTGGGCCCCGCCCCCAGAATTGGAACCGCAGGAGTAAGTAACAAGACCCCTAGGTGATTCTGATGTACCCCTGCTCTATTTCTCAGTCAGAGCTCCTGCAGAATGGTGGCCTGGTGGTTCTTCCCTTGCAGTAGCTCTCCTGAAGTAACAAGTGTTCTGACACTGGGAGCCAAGTGTGGTGAAGAAGATGTTTCCTCTTGGAAGGAAAGCTTCCTCAAAATGTAACTGCTGGAGAGAAATCAGTGACTAAGTTGCCAAGGAATGGAAAACAATCTAGCACTTGGGTTCGCCTTCTAGCCTGGATCTTCATTTTTCTTGTCTGGCTTTACTCTCCAGTAAGACTAATTAGCAATTTAACCATTCAATTTGGAGAGATTTCTGAGACTGATTTAATACAAACACAAAAGTGCTAGTACATAAGAAATTTTTCATAGCAAATATGGAAACCATTGATTTACTCTAGTCTAGTAGTCAAATCTCTTTGGCCAGATGCTTTCTTCCTATTTGTGTAACTACAGCTTAATAGGTGCTATTGATCCAATGCTGGTTACAGCCAATGCCCAAGTTCAGCAGAACTCCTTCCAACTCTCCCGTAATTTACCTCTAAGTCACTACACAGATATGTTTAATAAGAGATTTTGGAGTTAGATGAAAACAATCTTGAAATATTTAGAATATTTATTATATAGAAGAATACAGAGTTGTTTTGTGGGGCTCAGAAGATTAGTTCATAATGAAACATCTAGAAGAGAGAAAAAGGCTGTTTTTCAATAAAAAGGAAAATGTCGCTAATCAGCCATAAAAAAAAAAATGAGACCTGGACATTTGATACAAAATGGACAATATGGAAGATTTAATGCTAAGCGAAGCAAGACAGGCAGCCAAAGATGGGTATTCTATGTCCCCACACAATGTCTACCCCACACAGCAGAAACTGAAGGATCGGAAGTTATGGTAGCAGGGATGGCAACTGTAGATATGAAGAGACAGTGTGGGGGAGTGGTAATAAGGTGTCAGTAATAGGGAGTGGGAGGGAAAATACAAACATTTTTAATAGACACAAAAATGAAAAATTATTTGCTGACAATAATATATATGATAAGGTCTTTGACTCGACTAACATGCATTGTATTCATGCTGGGAAAAACCATGTTGTACATTGTAAAAATGTACAGTGATTAAATGTAAATTAGAAAGTAGAGGGGCGAGGACGCAATAATCTTACATGCCACCAGAAAGTAAACAGGTGGTTGAGGGTTGGATAATGGTGTAGGGCTAAAATGTAATGCTCCGTGAGGCCAACCTTCATGGGAAGGTTCTGTGTTCGTACCCAGAGACCCTCCCTGAGTGTACTGGGCATGTGTGTTCCCGTGACCTGGGGCTGGCTGAACATGATGTCAAGACCCTATTGAGGGTACATGCTGTCTCTCTTCCTGTGTGTGTCTCTCTCACACACACACATTCATGTAAGAAATAAACCACCACCACCACGACAAAAACAGGTGGCCTAGTGAGTCCCCTGTTACTTAGGAGGGACATTTTTCATTTATGCTCTGGAGAAGTTTTATCCATCAGCCAAGGGTTGATGTAGGTGAACTTTAAGATCCCCCTTCAAATCAGAGCTTTATGATGCTGTTTCTAGACTGTCTCCTTCACTTTAACTCTCTGAAGTGGAGATTGCAAACCTCCTTTCTCATATATGACGTGTTCCATGAAACAGTGTTCCAGTGAGGAAAAGCAAACTACCTTTCTGTTGGTGTTGCTTTTTGCTGATTTCGCAAAACAGTGTATGATCATTGAAATACTTTCTTTTCTATGTGTTTTAATGAAGATATATAAAATGTATATAGATGGGGGCCAGCAGGTGTCATGGTGGTTGAGGTACTCGACTCCCATATGGCTGACTGGAGTTCAAATCCCGGACCCAGTGGCTT